ACAAACAAACAAACAAACAAACAAACAAAAATCCAAGTATTTAATTCAGTGAAATAGCAAGCAAACTTCCAAATTCAAAGTTCAGCCTTGCTTTCTCTTCCCTCAGCTTTGGAGTGGGGTACACAGATGCCCGCTCCCTGTCATGTCCTCAGAACCAGAGCCAAGGTCCTGGTAAACTTAGACTGTGTTACTGTCTCTATGGTGGCACACACCTTTAATGCCAGTGCTTGGGAGGCAGAAGCAGGCAGAACTCTGAGTTCCAGGCCAGCCTAATCTACAGAGTGAGTTCCAGGACAGTCAGAGCTACACAGAGAAGCCCTGTTTTGAAAAACAAAAACAAAAAACAACTTACAGGAAATTAAACCTTCTATGAATACAAACATGCCACCTGAAATATTAGTAATGGGGTAGTAGATTACTAAGTAGGAAAACTAGCCAGAATTTTTTGGAAAAAAATTGAGTTTTTTGACTCATACATGTATTGTATGCATTATAATTATTATAATTAATCTTCCCACCTGTATTTTGAGTCTCAAAAAAATTAAATAATATTTAAAAACTAAAACAACTAGTCAGAATTTTAAGGGACATTTACCTCAGACACAGCAGCAACAGCCATTCCGGGTTTCTTGTAAGAACAGAACTAAACCCAAGGACATAGGAACTCTGACTATTAGTTAATGGTAGCATCCTGTTCTTGTGAGTACTCTCCCTTAAGACCCTGTGTTCTGAACCGGTGACTCTGTGCTGCTGCTGGTGTGTGTGTAACATCTTTTTAACCTGTTTTCAAAAGCAGCTGTCAGTTTAAAGCCATATCCCAGAAGGCATGGTCCTTCAATGCCATTTTTTAGTGTTCTTAGAACACAACTAAGCCATATATGTGATGCATGGCTAGCATTTGACATGTAGAGGCAGGAGAAGCAGGAGTTCAGATGCATCTTTGGCTGTGTTAGGCCCTGTCTCAAAAAAAAAAAAAAAAAGGCTAAAACAGAGAGGCACACAAAGGACAGAGGCAAGTGGATATCTGTGAGTTCGAGACCAGCCTGGTCTACAAGAGCTAGTCCCAGGATAGCCTACAAAGCCACAGAGAAACCCTGTGTCAAAAAACAAAACAAAAAAATAGATGTAAACAACCTATTCTCTGTTTATTTTTAATTTATTGTTTATTTTTGAGATAGGGTCTCATGTATCTCAAGTTAGTTTTGGACTTCTGCTTCTACTTCCACTTCTCAAGTGACGGGATTTCAGACATATTGCTATCTCGTCTAGTTTTTACTGTAACCCAGAGTTTCATGTAAACTAGACAAGCACTAGTTTACATGCCCTGTTCTCTATTTCTTAATTTCGTTTCTTATTGCCTGGCCAGGCTGTATAACTATAGAGTAAAAATCCCATGCTGTTTTCTGTACTGTTACCTAAATCTCTATTCTGTAGCACAGTGGTTGCCTTTTAAAAATATTTATTTATTCATATATTTCATGTATATGAGTGTTCTGTTTTCATGCACACCAGAAGGAAACTGAGCTCATTACAGATGATTGTGAGCCACCATGTGGTTGCTGGGAATTGAACTTAGAACCTCTGAAAGAGCAGTCATCTCTCAGCCCCAGTTGTTTTTTTGTTTGTTTGTTTTGCAAAGCTTAATGAATGAGTTATTCATATTCCTTTTTTTTTCTTCATGTCTTTCAGAAACCAAGGAGACAACTGCAGAGAGTGCCATTCCCCCTAAGTTCTGTCATGGCATCGTGATGGAAAGGTTCATAGAGGATGACATCATTTGTTCTACATTGAAGAAAGCCTCCAGCTATGGTGATACACTAGAAGGGCACCAGGAAACCCGTGGAAAAGGTGGGAGGCAAGCTGTTTTGACCCACAAAAAGGGATGCCAAGAAGCAAACAAATTTGGGGAAAACCTTGAGGGTTCCAATGTTATTTTAGAACAGAGGCACCATAGATACAACCCAGGTAGGAGGAGGAACAAATATAAGTTAGATTCAACTGATGATCCAATGAGCTGCATAGGAGCCAGAATGTATGGATGTAATATATGTGAAAAAATGTTCAAACAGCCCATTCACCTTACAGAGCACATGAGAATTCACACTGGGGAGAAGCCCTTCCGATGTAAGGAGTGTGGAAGGGCCTTTAGTCAGAGCGCATCGCTTAACACACACCAGAGAATCCACACTGGTGAGAAACCCTTCGAATGTGAGGAGTGCGGCAAAGCCTTCCGGCATCGCTCATCGCTCAACCAGCATCATAGGATTCACACTGGAGAGAAACCATTCGTCTGTGACAAATGTCAGAAAGCCTTCAGCCAGAACATCAGCTTGGTCCAACATTTGAGGACGCATTCTGGAGAGAAACCCTTTAGCTGCAATGAGTGTGGGAAAACTTTCCGACAGATTAGGCACCTTAGTGAACACGTAAGAATACACACCGGGGAGAAGCCCTATGCGTGCACGTCGTGCTGTAAAACGTTTAGTCACAGGGCATATCTCACACATCACCAGCGAATCCACACTGGGGAGAGACCCTACAAATGTAAGGAATGTGGGAAAGCCTTTAGGCAGAGGATACACCTAAGCAACCATAAAACTGTCCATACGGGAGTGAGAGCGTATGAATGTAGCCGCTGTGGGAAAGCCTACAGACACGACTCATCCTTTAAGAAACACCAGAGACATCACACAGGGGAAAAACCTTATGAATGTAATGAATGTGGAAAGTCCTTCAGCTATAATTCATCTCTGAGCCGACACTATAAAATACACAAGAGGAACTCTTTTCAAGATAATGTTTAAAAAAATGATACAGGGCATGAGAACAAAAGACAAATTGGTGATTCTAAGCTTTAAAATTTCAGGACTCAAATTTGAGAAACTGGTAACAATGGCAACTTTTGATTTTGCCAATAGTGTAAAAAAAAAACACTACATTGATTACTATTGTCTGACATTTTTTGCAAAATGATAAATTCAGCATTATGAAAAATTCACAATTATTTTTTCTCATTTCATGGTAGATTAATAAATTATTTCTTGATGGACTCATTGGTTTACAGATTAGTATTTGGGGACTACCTGGGCTGGGGAGGCGCCTCCGTAGGTAAAGGCACTTTCCATGAAGCATGGTAACCTACCTGATTTTGACCCTTGGGATACATGAGGTAGGAGAGAGCTACCATTCACATGCTATTCTTTGATCTCCATGCGTGCTAATGCGCACACACTAATTTAAAAGTATTGCCCATGTCATTTTACTCCAGTCACAGTTTTGAGTATCTTTTCTCCAAACTTCTTATACCAGCTTTTTAAAACACCTGTGCTCCTTTGAAGAATTTATTGATTTACAATACTGAATTAAATCTAGGACATAATGCATAATACCTACTAAGCAACATCATCAACTCTTATTTCCCTTTTTGAAACAGTCTTTCTTCCCTGAGGCTGGCCTCAAACTTATGTAGTTAAGAATGGTCAGGGATTACAAATGTGGGCTACCACATGTTGTTTATGCAGCTGCGTTTGCTGCGGAGTGGTCTGACAAGTTGTAAGGAGCATGTGAAGTCTCCTGGGAGACAAGTCCTCTGGATAGCATGGTGCTTCCGCATTTCCTTTCCTCTAGCACGAGATTCCAGAAAATTAATTTCTCTGGATCCACTGCTCCAACAGTGCCAAAGGAAAAGGCACAAAACTGTCCCTCTTTTATCTTTGCTCCTGCCACACTGAGTGTAGTGTTTCATTGAATGATTGCCAACTGCCCAATATCGTTGGTTTTAGTCCCCATCTGTGCAATTTCCTCTTTTTTTTCTTTCTGCCCAAGTTCTTTGGCATCCATTCATCCTTCCACAGATCAGAAAATAATATATATATCCATCCTACTGGGCAGTGGTGACACACAGGAGGCAGAGGCAGATGGATCTCTGTGAGCTTGAGACCAGCCTGGTCTACAGAGTGAGTTCCAGGGCAGGCTCCAAAGCTACAGAGAAACCCTGTTAAAAAACAAACAAAACAAAACAAAAAAACACTTTTGGGGCTGAAGAGATGGCTCAGCGGTTAAGAGCACTGGCTGCTCTTCCTGAGTACCCAGGTTCAATTCCAAGCACCCACATGGCAGCTCACAACTGTCTGTAACTCCAGTTCCAGTGGATCAATACCCTCTTGTGGCCTCTGTGGTGATATTTAAATTGAAACAAAAAACAAACCTGTGTTTCTGATGAACCCTTGACTTCTTGACTGAATTTACTAAAAGAACTAAACAGCCAGGCCTTATCCTTTTGGAGTTACAGTCAAGTCTAAAATCCCAGTGCTGAGATTTTAGGTGTGGGTCACCATGGGCTGGAAAGTATTTCTCAAAAATATAAACCGAGGCTGGAGATGGCTCAGAGGTTAACAGCACTAGCTGCTCTTGCAGAGGGCCTGAGTTTGTTTCTGGCTCTCAAACCTTCTCCAACTCTAGTTCCAGGAGACCTGACCCCCTTTTCTGGCTTCTATGGGCACCAAGCAGGCACGTGGCGCAAACTGCGGGCAAAACATCCATACACACAAACCAGACATTAAAAAAAAAAAAAAAAAAAAAACTTGAGAAAGAAAGAATCTGGGCATAGATGCACAATGCCTGTAATCCCAGCACCGAAAAAGCAGAGGCTGCAGTATCCCAATTGGAGGCCAAAAAAGGATGAAAGAAATCCAAGAGGAGTGCCAGCGTCTGTGAAGCTTGGGTTTGTAATTCTTCCTTAAGCTGGGAAAGCTGGTGCCAGATGCTAAGATCCGGATCCGGGATCCAAGAAACCAGCTGTACTGGGGACAGCCAGCAAGGTGACCGCCGAGACCTTCCCCTCATCGGGCTGGTGGTCGCAAGAGACTCGGACGGTACAACTAGATTCTTCCGGGCTAAATAACACTAGGCACTAAAGCATGTATAAGTGCACCAGGGTTTAGATGCCCGCTCAGCCCTAGTCTCGCGAGATCGGGGGCGGGGTCTCTGGAAAGGGGCGGTCCTCGAACCGCTACCAGGAGTTCTGGGACCGTGGTCCATTGCTGAGGTACAGGTCTGTAGGTGTTTTGCGCATTTTGATCCCGGGCCGATCCGAGTGCTGGCGCGTGGGCTCAGTACACTTGAGCTTGCATGTAGCACACCAGGAGGACCGGGGGGGGGGGGCTGGGGGCTGAGTGGAAAGCACTGGAACGAGTCAGGACGCGGAGGATAAAGGCAGTGGCAGGCGGCCGCAACCCATCAGCCAGGTACGGCCTCTGACTTCGGGCTGCAGCTGGGAACCTGGAGGGCGGAACTGAGCGCCAAGTTCGGGGATTGCATCAAGTAGCCCTTCTGCGGAATGAGAAGTTATGGAGACCTTGCCCTGAAGAGGCCTGTGCTGGGAGGAGTTATGATAGACAGCTGCCTCTCCAGTGTAACATCGTAATGTGAGGGCGTGGCCAGGTAAAAAGGAACAGAAGTTCCCCTTTAATCATAGCAAGGCCATACTCATCTTCACTCTCTTTGCCATTTTAATTCACGCCCTTTCCTGACGAGGGAAATCAGCCAAAGCCCAGGTGAGTGTGAGATCCTGTTCTCCTAAAGTTGCCATTTACCTGAGCGAATAGATACAAAGACTAACCGATTCATGTGAAAGGGGAAGGAAAGCCACATTTATGTGTACTGTACTTTAGCTGAGCAAACATAGAAGGATTATGCTACGAATTCTACATTTTAAAGACGTGCCAGTAGCATCAGAATTCTTTTTTCTAATGTGCCCAAGATTATTCAAGAAACAAACAGCATGCTAGCAAATTCTACTGGATTTTTCAGGATTAGATTAAAAACCTGTGGTCTCTTGATACTGACCTGGTATTTTCTGAACATCTCATTCTTTTTCACCTATTAATTTTTTAGCTATACATATGCACTTTTAAAACATATATGTTCCCATATAAATATTTAATGTAGATATTAATAGACATTTATGTATTTTTTTAAAAAGTCAGAAGTAAGCCGGGCAGTAGTGGCACATGCTGTTAATCTCATAAAGACAGGCAGGAGGATTCCTGAGTTTGCGGTCAACCTGTTCCACAGAGCGAGTTCTAGGACAGCCAGGACTATAAACACTGTCTCAATTCTCACCTCAAAAAGAAGTCAGAAGTCCAAAAAGAAAGTCAATAAAATGAGGCATTTGATGGATGCTATAGTAGCTTTGTAACAAATCTATGGTATATCTGAAAATGCTAGGCATCAGATGATGTTGACAGTCACCATGTGTCAGCAGTACATTGTCATATTCCTTTCTGACCTTTTTTTTAGCAGCATAAGAATGTCTAGGCTGGCTGGGTGGTGGTGGTGCACTCCTGTAGTCCCAGCACTGAGGAGGCAGAGGCAGGCGGATCTCTTGCGGGTTTGTGGCCAGTCTGGTCTACAGAGTGAATTCCAGGATAGCCAGGCCTACAGAGAAACCCTGTGGGGGTGGGGGGATGCCTAGGCTGTACAGTTGAGTATAAATTGTACTTCAATGTGAATCATCAGTGTGAATTGTTTTCTTTTAAGTGAATGTGAAGCTCATGTCTGTCTAAGTATACTAATTTTTATATTTTTAATTGTGCTAATAGGCCCTTTCATCATAAGCTAATTCCTTACTGAGAGGGGGAAAAATGTTAGTGACAAGCACCAGTGTAGTGGCTAACAGAAGTCTGTATAAAGAAGATTATTTATAAGGTCATCGGGTATTTTTTATGTGTGTGTTTTCTTTTTTGCTATTGTTTTGAGATATGGTCTAATGTAGCCCAAGCAGGACTCAGATACAGCTCAGCTATGTAGCTATGAGACCTTGAACTCTGATGCCTCCTTCTTCCAATCTCCCAAGTGCAGGGAATATGGGCATGCCCTGCCACAAATGGCTAGTAAGGATAAGATAAAACTCACTAAGAGATTTTCTTCATCATTAATATATCTCAAGACCTATAGTTATTAAAGGTAGTGAAATAATATTCCACATCTGTAGAGTTTCAAAGTAAAATAGGGAAACCTTAATGGAATCAAGGCCAAGAAAAGTAAGATTTGCCTAAAGCCATGCACGGTATGTTAGCGGCAGATCCATAAATAAAACTAAAATAGTTCTACTCTCAATGGCACCTCATTTAATTAACTTGTGCAATGACCAGGACTCTCTCTGTAGAAGTGAAAACAAAAAATAGACATGGATAGACGGACAGTAAATACAAAGAGCCATTTTCTAAAGCGTACCCGTGTGTAACTCTTTGTAACTACTAATTAGTCATAAGTGAATTGGATTCTTAGGGCTGGGGTTGTAGTTTAGGAGTAGTACACTTGCCCAGCATGTATGAGGCCCTGAATTCAGTCAGCAGCTATGATTCTGTTGGTCTCGGGAATTTGCAAGTCTTTGATAATGTTTGGTACATTATCTAGGTTCCTCCTTGTTCAGTCTAGAACGTACCATGGCTGAGACTGGGGAAGAGGAGACAGCATCAGCAGAAGCCTCGGGGTTCTCAGACTTGAGTGACTCAGAGTTGGTAGAGTTTCTGGACCTGGAAGATGCCAAAGAATCAACCGCTTCACTTAGCAAGCCTGGCCCTTCTTCTGAACTCCATGGGAAGGATGGCAAACCTATTAGCTTGCAGAATTGGAAAAATGGATCGGATGTCTTGTCGCCCATGGAGAGATTCCATTTGAAATACTTATATGTCACTGACCTGTGTACTCAGAACTGGTGTGAATTGCAAATGGTGTATGGAAAGGAACTTCCTGGTTTTTTGACACCTGAGAAGGCATCCGTTTTGGACACTGGTGCTAGCATCCATCTAGCAAAAGAACTAGAACTTCATGATCTTGTGACTGTCCCCATAGCCACTAAAGAAGATGCTTGGGCAGTTAAGTTTCTGAACATACTATCAATGATTCCTACCCTGCAGTCAGAAGGGCGCATCAGAGAGTTTCCTGTGTTTGGGGAAGTAGAGGGCATATTTCTTGTTGGAGTGATTGATGAGTTGCACTACACATCCAAGGGGGAACTGGAGCTGGCCGAACTCAAGACACGAAGGCGCCCAGTGCTTCCTCTGTCGGCTCAGAAAAAGAAAGACTATTTCCAAGTTAGTCTATATAAATATATCTTTGATGCCATGGTGCAAGGGAAAGTGACTCCTGCAAGCCTAATCCATCATACACAGTTGTGTCTAGACCAGCCACTGGGGCCTCCAGTGCTGAGGCATGCCCGACAAGGAGGGTTCTCTGTGAGATCTTTGAGTGACCTCATGGAACTGGTTTTCTTGTCTCTTACACTGTCTGATCTCCCAGCTATTGATAGCCTAAAACTCGAGTATGTCCATCAAGAGACTGCCTCTGTATTGGGCACAGAGATTGTAGCCTTTGAAGAGGAAGAAGTGAAAAGCACGGTGCGCCATTATGTGGCCTACTGGATGGGCCACCGAGATCCTCGAGGTGTTGATGTAGAAGAGGCATGGAAGTGTCGCACCTGTGACTATGCAGACATCTGTGAGTGGAGGAGGGGCCCAAAGCCAAGAAGTTGAAATGAATGGAAGTTGCACTTTGAGAGATGTTTGAAATATACTTGTGTTAAAGGGTCAGTCTCAGCTTGGCGTTCGTGGATCAGGAATGGAGAGATTTGGGATTGGAGCTTTGAGATGAAATGCAAAGAAGACAGATGTACATCGTGTCTGCAGCAAAGGGCTCCCTCAGTCATCACTGTTTTCTCAAGAAAATTATTTGACTTTTGATGTTTTTTATTTTTGATGGATTTTCTTTTACATTTTTTATAATAAAAATGAAATGCTCTCTAGAACTGTCCAATTGATGTTGAATTGATGTTTGTGAATATGCCAATCTCAGTCCTTTAAAGATGACCACTGGGGGCTGGAGAGATGGCTCAGAGGTTAAGAGCACTGACTGCTCTTCCAGAGGACCTGAGTTCAATTCCCAGCAACCACATGGTGGCTCACAACCATCTACAATTCAATCTGGTGCACGCCCTCTTCTGGCATGTAGACAAACTGTATCTGTAATAAATAAATAAATCTTTAAAAAAAAAAAGATGACCACTATACTATACATAATTGTACAGTTTCAGAATCCTTTAAGTTCGTGCATAAACATTTTAGAAACAGAGCTAATAGAATAAGCAGATCAAGAATTTAAAATAACTATAATAAATATTCTCAAAGAGATGATGCAAGAAGTCATAGAAGTAAAAATATTAGATGAAAATTATATATGAAATAACAGTATTCACACATTATACAATCCAGCAATACCACTCCTGAGCATATGTCAAGGGAAGTTCATATGGATGCAACAGGAAATATGAAAAAATATACTTTCACAAATACAAAACTCTAGAAACTATCCCATCATCAGGTGCGTGAAGAGATATGACAACCAAAACATGAGCCGCAATGATATGTAACAATATGCATGAATCTTAGCAACGCATTGGGTGAAAAGGGTAAGTCTAAAAAGATCACATGCAGCAGGACATCCTTTTTCATAAAGTAGAAAACAAACATTTTAAGGAAAATGTAATGGGAGAGGTAGAGTATAGCCTGTCTTACTAAGACACTAGTCACTCTAGAATGCCAGATCTTAGCCTGAAGGCATGAGACCTCATCCCCCCCCCTCCTAGAGTTGACAGGCCACTGCTGAAAGGATTAAAACACAGGTTGGGGTGAAGAGAGCAAACCCTAGCTAGACAAAGGAAAACTTGCTATGCTTTCCCTGACTCTAAATTATGGTCTGGCTCCAGAAAAATTCAAGCTACATAGTTTCCGTAGCAAAGACATATGTTACCTTATAGCCTTCACCCACTAGGAAAAAGGTATAAACATAAGCTCTGTCTTTGTTCCCTGGAAATACACACCCACTCCCCTTCCTGTGGCCCTGGTGGCCAGAATAAAGCTGTTTTCACCTGGAATTTGCCTATCACTTGTCTATAGAACCAGCTCTTTTCTCCAAAATGCCTTGAACACCATTTGTCTATTTAATGGTGCACATTTTCAGTGCACCAGAAAGCAGAGGAACCCTCAAACATCACCAAAGAAGCAGGAAAAACAAACCAGATGACTATCACTAGGAAATTGAGGACATGATAGTGACAATGTTGGAGAATTTGTAAAAGTTGATGGAGGGTGTGTGTGTGTGGGGGGGTGAGTTCAATTCCTCATACCTACGGAGTGGAAAGAACCAAATGTTCTCTTGATCTACAAACACACTAGATAAATGTAATTAAAAAAAAAGATTAACCATTACAGTAGGAGATAAAATAGGTAATCTTGGAGTTGGGGGGATGGTTTACTTGGTCAAGTGCCTGCTATGAAGCATGAGAACCTGAGTTCAATCCCAAGTTCATTTAAAAGTGGGCGCAGTGGATTGGAGACTGACTGGTACTAAACAGGTAGAGAGACAGGAAGATTCCTGAAGCTTATTGGTCAATTGTTCTAGCCTAATTGTCAAGTTCTGGGTTTGTCAAGAGACCCTGTTTCAAAAAATAAAGCAATAGAGAAAGACACCTGATATTAACCTCTGGCCTCCTCACACTTGTACACCTATAGACGGGTGGGTGTATGTACATATGTATGTATGTATGTATTATGTATGTATGTATATGTCACATGCACACACAGAAGTAAAATATATTACCTCTAGACACCCTTTTGAGCTGTACATGAACACACACAAACTTGGAGACTGGGAAAGTACTGATAGCTCTTCCGAACTAACTCCACAAAGCTGTTTTGACCTCCACACACATGCTGTGACATGCACAAAATAATAGTAAAATAAGATATTGTGCCGGGCTTTGGTGGCGCACGCCTTTAATCCCAGCACTCGGGAGGCAGAGGCAGGCGGATCTCTGTGAGTTCGAGGCCAGCCTGGTCTACAGAGTGAGTTCCAGGACAGTCTCCAAAGCCACAGAGAAACCTTGTCTCGAAAACCCAAAAAAAAAAAAAAAAAGATATTGTATATGTTTGGGTCTGTCCAACCTGCTGCCCAAGGGTTGCTTGTACCTACAGATAGCTGTGAATACAACCAAAAACAAACTCAAACTTACTTAAAATGTTATGAGATCTGTTACTCAAGGGTTTTGTAACTTGGGGCTGAAGAGATGGCTCGGTGGTTAAGAGCACTGGCTGCTCTTCCAGAGGTCCTGAGTTCAATTTCCAGCAACCACATGATGGCTCACAACCGTCTATGAGAGCTGGTGTCCTATTCCGGCGTGCAGGACAGAGCGCTGTATATATTATAAATGTATCTTTAAAAAAGATTTTTGTAAGTTGTGCAATTCTCAAGTGTGAACACTGTGGATGGCAATGTCATTTTGCAATGTCAAACAGCTGAACATGCTTGAATCAAGAATTCTCTCATTAGGGCAGGATGTGGTGGTATGTGTCTTTAATCTCAGCACTAGGGGAGGCAGAGGCAGGTGGAGCTCTGGGAGTTCAAGGCCAACCTAGTCTACAGAGTGAGTTCCAGGCCAGCAAGCACTACATAGTGAAACTCTGTCTTAAAAACAAAAACAAAAACACACCAAAAAACCATTCAGGTTACCTGTATAAGTACACATGAAACATAAATGGATTATTTTATGTTTAGACATTGGCCCCATCCTCAGTGTATCTTCATAGATCAAGGTAAGTCAAATTCTGACAAAATCAGAAATGCCAAGCAATTCTGGTGTCATCATAATCTCTACAACCCCAAAGACTTAGTAATAGTAAGAGAAACTAGGGCTTAATGTTTGAGAGCATAAGCATTGCTACCAGACATCTGTGGGCTGGAATCTGCTGCTTTCAAACACCAGGAGCTTGGAGGAGTAACTTAACCATTTAAAGCCTCAAGTTCTACACTGTGGAAAACTGATACACAGTGCTTAGTACATCTCTAACCAGTGCTCCTCCAATGAATGGGAGGTGTGACAGAGAATCCATGGACACTGGTGGGCCAGACAGCCACTTCCTGTTGCCTCCACAAGATGCAGAACTCTCTGCTACCTCTCCAGCACCGTGTCTGCCTGCACCCCGCCATGTCCAACTATGATGATAATGGACTAAATCTCTGAACTGTACGCCGTCACAAACGTTTTCCTTTATAAGAGTTGCTGTGGTCATGGTGTTTCTTCACAATAGAAACACTAAGGCAGAAGTAATGATGTGAGGGCATTTTCAAGGTGTTTTGTTGTTCAAAGGCTTAAAAGAAACAGCCCTGGAAAGCATTCCTTTTGCTGCAATCCCCTTCCTTGTTTAAAATAATTGTTTTACCATTTGTTTACCATGTGCCATTTATTGTTTTAATTTTTTGTGGGTTATCTTTTCTTTTGGTTCTTTTGAGATGCAGTCTCCCTATGTAGTTCAGGTTGACCTGGAACTTGCTATGTAGCCCAGGCTAGCCTCACATTTATAATTCTTCTGCCTTAACAGTCCTAGGGTTACAAGTGTACTCCCAGCTTACTTAAGTTGAAGTCTCATAGATATCCTATGTTGTGTATACTACAATTGTCACCATTTTTCAGCTAACAAAACTGAGGTACAGAGTATTGAAGTACGTTTCCCAGGGTGACATTACCAGGAAGACAGCTTGCAGCCTGATAAGCTGCTGTTAGAGGCCAGATATGTGGGAGTGCTGGGGTGTGCACACAGGCGAGCTTGTGTGGTGGTCAGAAGACAACCGGGGAGAGATTCTTCTACATTGTGGGCTTCGAGGATTGAACTCAGGCCCTCAGACTTGATGACAAGCGCTTTTATCTGCCGAGCCACCTAGCCAGCCTCAAACTGATCTAGATGATTGTCTTAGGGTTTTTATTGCTGTGAGGGGACACCATGACCACAGCAACTCTTTAAACATCTGATTGGGCTGGCTGGGTTTCAGCTTCAGAGCTCAGTCCATTGTCATCACGACAGGGAGCATGTCGGCACACACGGTCAGATGTGGCGCTAGAGCTGAGACTGCTACGTCTTGACCCGAAGACAGCAGGAAGTCAGCTGACTGTTACTCTGAAGGAAGCTTGAGAAAAAGACCTCAAAGCCGGTCCCCACAGCGACACACTTCCTCCAACAAGGCCATACCTCCTAACAGTGCCTCTCCCTTTGGGGGCCGTTTTCTTTCAAACCAACACAATGACTAACATGGTTTTCTATATTTTCCAGATCACTTCTTGCCTCAGCCTCCTGAGGCCTCCTGTGCCACCGCGCCTGACTTTTAAAATCAATTTCTCCTTTACTCTTTGTCTTAGTTAGGCTCTCTATTACTGTGACCAAAAACAACTTGGGGAGGAAATGATTTATTTCATTTCATAGCTTGCAGTTCGTCATCCAAGGAAGTAAGGGCAGGAACTCAAAGCCCAAACCTGGAGATGGGACCTGAAGCAGAGCCCGAGGGAGCTGCTTACTGGCCTGTTCTCAAGGCTTGCTCACCTCTCCAGGGATGACGCAGTCCACGGTGAGCTGGACACTCCCACATCAATCATCAGTTAAGATGATTAAGGCTACATGAAGAGTTTGAGGTCAGCCTGAGCGGTAAGAGTCGAAAAAAACAAAACAACAACAACAATAAAAAAAAAAAACCATGACACAAAACCTATAGAATAGTTATGCCATTTGACTCAGGAAATTTGTGCCAAATTGTAGAGTGAAGCCTTTTCCTCCGCCAGCAGCTTTGGGTTTTCCCCTGCCAGCCGCTTGGGCTCTGCCACAGTTGCAGTCCCCAAATAACACACAAGACACTATATTAATTATGAAGCTGTTGGCCGTTTGCTTGATTTCTTGCTGGCTATCTTTGACTTAAGTATTT